GGGGGGGGGGGGGGGGTGCCATGTCTGTAGGTTTGGACTCATGTTCGGGTGCAGTATGTTTTTGGATGGGCTAAGGGCTACATGCCCTACTTACAGGAGTAGGTAGCTGCGAAGGTGAGAGTTGTCGCATCTTGTATCTGCTAAGTTCCACCTTTCAACAGAAACATGTTGAACATCGGTCGTATTGGTCTTTAGTCTAGTGGTACAGAACGGTAGTTCAGGATTCTGTAATGCAATTTTGTCATGTAGACGGATACAGGCAGCCCATGTTTGGTTCGGAGGTCCCTTCCCCTAAGCAAGACGTGCAGGAATTTTTGTTGCCAGGGGCTCTAGGAACGTTATTCATCCTAAACCCTAACACCATGAAGCCCTCAGTGCCCTGCACTAATCAACAACCCCAAACATCCGAAACACTATATTTCCAATTTCTGGGCCTTAAACACCCCTGAGGCTACAGCAACCGAAGAGTACTGTAGACTCCTGATTAATGAATCCCTTGGGCCTTTTGTTAGCATCCTTGCAATAATCCCTATAGCGGCGGGAGAAGAACCCTAAACCCTAAACCCTAAACCCTAAACCCTAAACCCCTAAACCCTTAACGGTTTATGAACCGGGGGTCTACATAATGCAAGCTGCAAGCACTCCACAACTCCACGATGATTTACGTTCCGGGATGTACGTCTTTTAGGCTAAAGGGTTCAGGTTTCGGGCTTCAGGGTATAGGGATCAGGGTATTGAGTTTAGGGTTAGGGTTCTCCGCCACCAAAGCTTCCCCAAAGCTCAAACTTTAGCCAGTTCTGTTTCGCCCGGAGCACCCGTGCTAAACCTATCTGAACCTCAATCCTGCAGAAAGCATAACCCTGTGCCAAATAGAGCTTGAATTTGAAGGATCAGGTGTAGCTTGAACGTGAAGGATCAAGATACTCGTATAGATTCTTTGCTTGAGGTCGGCTGATGCGCAGCTAGACCCGGCACCGATCCCCCCCTCCCCCACACCCGTCCAAGAAGGAAGCCCATAAGCCGAAACACCAGTTGTCAACCCTTAATCCGTGAATCCTTGTTCTAGAATCCTTTACTTAGGGTGAAAAAACCCTGTTACATATCTCGTCGAACTCCCTTTCCAAGAGCCCCTAAAACCCTAAAGCCCAAAGCCCTAAACTCAGTTGGCCCTGCGTTCCGAACCCCTTCGAGAATCCTTCAAACAGCCTTACCAACCCCTCTTTTACCCTAAACCCTAAACCGTATAAACCCCACAAGCCCCATAAACCCTATAAGCCCCGTTAGCCCTATAAACCCTACAAACCCCATAAGCCCTCTAAGCCCTGTAAGCCCTATAAAGCCCTATAAACCGCATGGACCCTGTGGGCCCTATGTAGGAAGGACTGCTTGTAGCCTCAGACTCAACTGAGGTACTTGTAGCTCTACTTACCACTCTAAACCCGTAGAAACCTTGTGCTACATGCCAACATTGCCGCGGCGCTCTTCATGAACCTCCAAGTAAGCCCCAACCCTAAACCCTAAACCCTAAACCCTAAACCCCAACAAAAAATCCCCACGCAAGCCCGTGGCGCAGGAGGATGCCCCGAAGCCTCCACCCGAGGAGGAGCATGACCACCAGGCTTCTAGACGATCACAGGGGTCATGATATAGGGGCCTCAATAATTACCTGTATTATTTTGAGGGGTTCCTTATTATGGTTATAGTATAGTGGTCCCCGAAACCGTAGCCTACTTTTTAAGGCCCCTACATTAGAGCTCGAGGAGCGTTTTTCCTTTTTGTTGTTGCTGACAGGGGGTGAGGGCCGGTTCGCAGGGCTGAGGAGGGTTTATGGCCTCTGTTTGTTTGGATGAATCCTGATTTGTACAAGCGTAGAAGTCGTTTGAAGTCAATCCTGTTGGTTGGGGGTGTTATGGGATGTGAGATGTAAAGGGGTGTAGGAGTCCTAAACCGTCTCACCCTAAACAAGGTGGCCATTTTTGGGGCTTGCGTGTGTAGCATTCGCCTCGAAGCCCTGCGGTTCACTGCACCATACCAGATGAGCCTTTGCCCGTGACACCTGCTTTTTGCATCCTTGTTAGTGTACGTCCCGGGTTCATAAAAAACCCTTCCTTTCAGGGCCTTGCGCAGATGCATACATAGCTCATCTCTATCATTAGAGGTCCTCTTTATATACAGATCTTTCAGTTTCAACCACAGCTAAGGCTAGGTCCATCTCTGTGTCTCTGAGCGGTGATGTCATCTTAAATCCTAGGCCGCGAACGGAACCCTCAGCCGCGAACGGAACTCTCATCATAGGCCTGTTGCTATATACAAACAATCCGCATCCTAGCAACCCTGTAGGAAGTTCTCGCAAAAATCCGTATAGACACCCGTATGAAAATCCTTCCAGAACTTTTGGAGAACCCATACGCAATCTTTGTCCCTCCATCCCTGGTCCTTAAACCAAACTCCCTGAACTTACTTCTCAATGGACTATACCTTAACCCCCTAGCACCCTTCTGGAAACCCCGCAAGGAATGCTGCTAGTAGACCTTAGAGGAACCCCTTAACCCTGAACCGGAAACCCTAAACCCGAAACCCTAAACCCTAAACTAAACCTTAACCCCTAAACCCGAAACCCGAAACCCTAAACCCTAGCGGGGTCCTTTGTGGTGCAAAAATCAGAGCAACCCTAAACCCGAAACCTTAAACCCTACATCCTCGTATCCTCTCAGGTACTCCAGGCCAATGTGGATCCGAAAGAGTGGCTCCTCGAGGTGCGGTTTAGGGATGCAAGGGGTTGCAGAGAATAAGGGGTACCTTATTCAGGCATCCTACGCTCCGGATTCTACACTAAACCCTAAACCCTAAACCCTGAATATTTTGGTCCTTCATTTGCCGAAATTTCCCTGAACCCTAAACCCAAAACCCTAAACCCTAAACCGTAAACCCAAACCCCCGCGCATGAGCCGGGGGCTGAAGTTTGTTGTTTGGCTCCGTTTAGGTTCCTCTTACGAGATCTGCTGGCGGTTTAGGGTTTTTAGGGCTTCGAGGGTTTTTTAGGGTTTAGGGTTTAGGGTTTTTAGGGCTTTTAGGGTTTAGGGTTTAGGATCTGCGGCCCATCAAAGATTCCTGTTCGGGTTTCGGGCTGAGGGTTTGGGGTTTACATGCTGGGGTGTAGGGCTTCAGGGTTTTAGGGTGCAGGGTTTAGGATGATGACCCTAAACCCTAAACCCTAAACCCTAAACTCTAAACCCTAAACCCTAAACTCTAAACCCTAAACCCTACACCCTTAACCCTAAACCCTAAACCTTAAACCTAGGGTTCGGATCTGGGGTTGCTACTGGTTAGGCCCAGGCTTCAGGGTGCTTTTTGGACTGTTGGGTCTTTGGGTGTAGGGGTTAGGCACGGAAGGCCTGTGAGACTCTATAAAGCCTCCAACTGTAGCAGAACATCCCTTAAGGAGGGTTTAGGGTTTAGGTTTAGTGTTAAGGGTTTAGGGTATACCTGCCAGATGCAGAGGGACTTCTGACTGTCTGAAACCCTCACCGCTGAAACCCTCAACCCTAAACCCTAAACACTTGGTACGTTGGAACAGTCGATGATTTTAGGGGCCCTACAGTGCAACCCTCGTCACACGAACCCTTACGATCCCCGCCTAAATGGGAAGGTGGAGCGCGTCTCAGCGAAGTTGAAGGTGGTCATGCCGAACGACTCCAAAGAGTGGAGGCCGGGAGGTTTTCTTGTGTCACGATTGGATTGAGGATCGTGGGACTTAGTCAGTAGGGTTATAACTATGGTAAGTGCACTTATAACCCCAGTTAAGGGACTTCTAACCCTACTTACTAAGTCCCATGATCCTCCAAGTAAGCCCTAGGGTCCTGGGGTTTAGGGATGTTCAGAGTTTCCCCTCAGAGTTCAAGCACACTCAGATGAAGAAGCTGACCCTGCTGTCTACAGGGTCAGAAAGGGTTGGTTTAGGGTTTAGGGGTTTGGGGGTTTGGAGGTTTAGGGGTTTAGGGTTCAGGGTTCAGGGTTTAGGGTTTCGGGGCAATGCAAACCCGTGATAAACAAGAACCCTCCCTTTCTCAAAGGTGCATGATTTCAACCTGGGGCTTTAACACTTGTTTCATCCGGGAAGGGGTCCAGGGAAGCGATGCCCACATCCAAATGGTGCTTCCCTCTTCTGTGCTCATGAAACCACTCTGGGCACCAGGTAGCAGAGAACCCCTTGAGGACGAAGTGCATGTAGTTATAGTTACCCTTCTTATAGCTCCATGTACGTAACTTAGTTCTTAACCTAAGCCCTACACCCTTAAGAAAACCCCTTCTTATAGCTCCATCTACACAACCTAGTTCTTAACCCTAAGCCCTACACCCTAAACCTTAAACCCTGAACCCTAAACCCTAAACCCTAAACCCTGAACCCTAAACCCTAAACCCTAAACCCTAAACCCTAAACCCTAAGCCCTACACCCTTAAAAAAAGCGGAGC